CGGCGGTCGAGCTGGCGGCGACGGCGGCGGCGGCGGCTCATACGGCGGCGGTGGCGACTGATACGGCGGCGGCGACGGCGGCTGATACGACGGCGGCGGCTGATGCGGTGGCGGCGGCGGCTGCGGTGGCCGTGACCGGACCGGTCTACCCGCTGGACCAGAGCGCGTTTGACCGTACTGCGACCTCGGCAGCGGAAGATCGGCGGCGTCTCGCAGCAGCGGCGTCATCGACGCGGACGACCAGTCGTATCTGTCCAGCAGCCGGTCGATAGGTCTGACCTTGGATTGCGGTACGGCCATGTCGAGTACGTCTACCACGTTGTTGTCGTTCTTCTTCTTCGTCTTGCAGTCGTCGGGACCTTTACCGATTTGGTCCGACTTGGCGATTTTGATTTTGACTTCCATCGCCATCCGCGCGAGCGAGCGAGCGTGAAAAAAAAATAATAACGTCGAACCGTGCCAATATATTATGTTATAGAAGTGTCGTAACGATTGCGTGCGACGACCGGTGACTTCGACAAATCCGCACGAGACCGTTTTAAAACCTACGAGAACGGGTTAGTTAAACGCAAAACGAATAGGCGATACTACTTGACAACAATTTGAAATTTATTATTATTTATCGGCGGCGATCGAGACGAGACGACGCGACGGTATACATAATATACATATTATGATATTATTGTGTTTCGTCCGTAGTATTGCCAAGCTCGTGTGTCGGTCGAAGCGAAACAATGATGATAATAATAATATTATAATGCACAACCGTTGCGCGGCGGAGCGTCTTCAGCTCTCTTCGCGCACAACGGAAATGTTTCCAAATGTCAGTCTTAAGCCAACAAACGTATATTATAAATGTTATCGCGATAATTAATGTGGCAATTATTTTATCACGGAGAAATAATGAAAATCGATATTTTTTTTTTTTCTTGTACAGTTTAAGTTTCGTTTCCGTTGTAGATAACTTCTGAGAAGAGATAACTATTTTGATAATTCATTAGTTTGACAGCAGATTATCAATATAATATTTTATCTGGTACGAATTCAATACTGCTACAAAAGACGGTAACAAAAATTACATTAATTATTTGTCTTCGGTAATCAAAATCGCTAGTTATCATGGTTTTTTAAACTTATTCTTAATGTGTAACGAATTGAAATGTTATATTGCTGTTAATGGCTTGTTATTATAATGATCAATAATTGCAGAGTGCGCTAAACATTAGATACAACGAATAAGCCGGGATATTTAATTCAAATATAATATTATTGCCATGAAAAGGAAAAAAAAAACCAATAAATTAATAAAATATCATTGGTTTCAATTAATATCCTTCAATGTTGATTAAAAATAAATGTTATCACGATTAATAATGTACTAATGTAGTAATAATGAAGAAAGAATTAACATCTATTTGTCTAATGCGATTTTAGTTTACGTTTAAGACAGTTAGAACTCAGAAATGATTACCATTATGATAATAGTTTGACAGAATATTATTGTAATATAAAGTGGTACATTATAAATGGCACCGATACAATTATATTTTGTTTTTTAAAAATAAATTATCAAATGGTTTTTAAATTATAGAGGTATTTAATTTTTTTTTTAATACATAAACAGTAACAAATTAAGGAAATAGATTCATCAATCCATTAATTTAAAACATTATTTGCTAAAAAAAAAAAAAAATAACATGAAAATTACGATGAACATAGTGTAACTGATTACTTTATTTTTATACCCGACTAAAAATATCAAAATTATATTTCTTTTACTTGTTTTTCAAGTATTGCATCTTGAATTAATTTTAATAATAATGTACAAGATATTTATTGTTTTTTTATGTTTTTTAACATCATTTAATTGCAACCAAAATAAGTATCAATTCTTCATTTCTTCACTGTCGTAGAAATGGGAAATTTAAAATGGAAAAATCAAAAAATGCTGTGTTTTGGTATGTTGTTAAAAAAAAAAACAAATAAAGACTACTACAGAATTTCAGAGTTATCGACAAACAACTTAATCTTAAGTGTATGAAGGTCTATTATTAACCATTTAAAAAAAATAATCATTGGAAACCAATCATTATAATGGTCAGATAAATAATAATAATATACTTTCATGAGGGTTCACCCTTTCAAAGGATGTTTAAAAATATATATATAACATCAAAACAAAATATCCATAATTTATGTACATATTTACTATTCGGTGTTAGTTATTTATTTTTCAGTGATAATTAAATAATTAAACTTTATTAAAATATTTAACGATATATTATAATATGTAGCTAGCAATTTTCGATAAGCAACATACCAGGTAAGGTGTAGTACAATATACAAAACAAATATTCAAAAATTATTTCATGTAGTGATTAAGTAATACAATACGAGTTGTAGATTGCATTAGCAATAACTTATTATAATAAAATTACCATGTGTACATTTTCATATTCTATTGCCTATGTTGAGCCCCTTAAAATATTGATCACCATCGTCTAGATTAAACGTACCTATGTAAAAAATAAAAATTGCATTAAAAATAATAATCATAAAATTGAAATTGATATCACTTTAAATCATTCTAATTGTAATGTTATCATATAGATAGTTTTAAACTTAACGATTCAACTGAACATAAGTTTTTAAAGAATGTTAGAAAATATCAATATACATTTACACTAAAAAAAAAAAAAAAAAAATTGACATAATTAAAAACCATACATCAATTTTATTGAAGTTCAACATAAGCCTATCGCATAATATTTTCTATTTCCTCGTACTAATTTTACAAGAAAAAAAGCCTACAATATAGGTTATGGCCTTTGAGTAATGACTGACGAGTAACGGGTGGCAAATAGAAATAATAAATGTTGAAAGAAAGAAATACTGGCAAGTAAATTATTGAAAGACGCTCCGCAGAGGCCTCTTGGGAAATATTTTTCTTGTCGGAATTTGATAAGCGTTGCATCAATATTATTTAGTGAGCACTATAATAATTATTATATGGGACATACCGTGAACAAACGAGCAACGAGTACGGGAAATATTATAAATAGATTAAATACTCTGTGAAGACCGTCCACAGAACGACTCGCCAAACAATGACATTTATCCACCAATAATGTTTTTTTAGTATACAGTACACTCGAATACATAAAAAATATTAAACAGCTGATTGGGAATGATTGGTAATTATAGGTTTATTGGATTGCAGATATACCTAAACATTTTCTCGCTATGGATTTTTTTTTTTTTTTTTTACAGACAATAATAATTGTCTATATGAATCTATCATCTTTAAATTCGAAACTATTATGTACTCAAACAAAATTACATTCTAAAAATAGATTTCCATTGTATAACCGACACCAAAATAATACTCAAACTACACAACTGCTTACCTAATAAATTGTGTATAAATGTTACGGCGTGTTCTGAACAATAGTTTCAATAATTTCAGATTATGATGGCAATTTATTTGTTTAACTGCAGTACTTATCGGATTATTATGTCCAATGTGAACACTCTCGCAACAATGGCAAATCAATTTATCTGTGACAAATGCTGACTTATTATTACAGTCGATTATTTTGATTACGTAAATGCTACTATTATAATATGATCAGTGTTGCACAATGATATATAACTGAAAGATTATCTAGCTTAGTATGAAAGATAATTAGTTATAAGTTTTAATAATTATCTAAACAAATCTAATACCTAATGGATTATCACTAATAATTATTTAGTTAAAACATAATAATATTTTTATAATGAATTTATTACATCAACTTTTTTTTCATTATATAAACTTTAGAATTATTATCGAGTTAAAGTTTTAAAATACATTTTAATGTATTGATATAACAATTTACGCTTTTTATTTTAATTGTGAAAGTCGTTATTTTTATTATTATCTATGTATATTATTCAGCTGTAAACTTGAAGGTAATAAAAAAAAACTATTTTTGCACTTCGAGATATGTATGTGTGTAAAACTCATAAAATTATACTATTGTCAAATGATAACTATTATAAATTGTTAAATACAATTTTTTTTAGGATAACGTTATATAGTATGGAATTTTATTATTTATTTAAGTGTCTTAAATCTATAAATAATTTTAATCATATTAAAAATAATGACCAACTGCAAGTAGAAGTAGTTACTTCTAAATAATTAAGAAACCAATATATTAAAGAGCACAATGTTTAAATTGACAAGATCGCCTACTCATTTTTTTTTTTTACTGCCAACTTAAGTATCATTAAAAATTAAAAATACGAAAAAAAATATATTTACAGCAATAAAACTGTATAAAACGACAAGAAAACCAAAAATACTGTAGATAAAAAATGTTTATTGTTCATAATTTTTATTATGATCTACTGAACTTAAAATATAGTTATAGCAAATAACTATTATTCATCAATGTATTTTTTTAATACTTTTTCGTTTTAAATAAAATATTTAAACAGCAATGACATTGACAAAATGAAAACAAATCATTTCAACACAGAAATCGGAAGACACATAGAATTGATTCTATCATACATACTAATGTATACGCTGTTAGCCAAATTTAATTCCAAGTTAAATAACACGATTTCAATGCGGTAAACGGAACTGGGACACAATAAATACAATTTAACTTTTCATAACTATCAGGTAATAGTATGTAGAATATCAATAACATCGTATGTAATACATTAAATATATTTTTTATGGTTATTTTAGTCTTATAGCATATGCAGTTGTCAGTGATTTAGTCGAACTATTTTTATGCCACGAACACCATTTCGTGTATAAAATAACCATTTAAAAGGTTTATATGAACATATTTTTACTCGTATCCGTCAGCCATACACCATCTAACTGCTGTGCGTTTCCGGTGTCGCGGGCATTTTCCTTCTGGGTTTTGCCACAGCGCCAAATATCTGGTCACTTAAGGACTTATGACTGGTTTCAAATATTGTAACATTTGATTCAGCACGAGGGTCTTATTATCGTTTTTTTTTCCCCAATCATCCGTGCAGTCTACGTCGGCTGCATCTCGAGGCGATGTTATAATGTGCAGAGAACGGAAGGAACTAATTGATCCCGTTGTACGACTATTGAAATCGATAGCATTTTTCTTCATAATCACGGTAAATGATCAATAAACGATCCAACGTTAATTGTTCTTTTGTTGAATTCTATCGAAATATTGAAATACAAGACTTGCCAATGTCCGCCGACGATGGCCTTCTGTCCACATCTTTCTTAGTATTTTAACAATCATGTAAATGCTGATATCGTGCTCAACAGAAGCAGCAGCCAATGGGGGCTATGGTTAACGATGGCATTTTTTTTTTTGTTTGTTTTTTTGTTCTCATTATTATAAATTGTAATTGTTATTATTACATTAACCGTTTAATTTTTTTTCTTCGTACGTTCTCTTATTTTTTGTTTCTTGTCCATTTCATCTAAACGCCGTTTCCAATAACAACTCAACGGCATTTTCAACGTGTCGATGTTTATTTGATAATCGTGTGATTTTTACAAACTCCAGGAACGACAATTATAGAGTTTGAAACGTATAATAATGTCGTGAGGGTATATATAGTTAAGTTACGTCAGTAAACCACACAAACAAATTATTATTATCATGCTTCATAATATGTTTTGTTGTGTTGCTCAAAAAGTAGTGAAACCACTGCTGAAGTTCATAACTTTCAAATCATGTGTTTAACAAAATGTTATAAAAATACAGAATATTTATTTATCTAGAAAGGTAATTATTATGA